GAGAGAGAGAGAGAGAGAGAGAGAGAGAGAGAGAGAGAGAGAGAGAGAGAGAGTATGGGTGGAAATCAGTTCGGCAACCGTGGCTCCTGAGAGACATGGAAACAAGGCTGACTTTTGGAGGCCTTCGAGGGCGAAACCCAAAAGTTGGAGGGAGCTCTGACATTTATGGCAAAGCTCAGAGGCAGGAAACTACTTCCAAATATCCCCAAAAGAAAGAGGTAAAATGGAAATGCGACAAATTGCAGCTTTCGGGGGTAAATGGAATATGCTCTGTTCAGATACCAGTTATAAAGAACTGCGTCCTGAGGTATTCAAAGTCAGTTTCAGGCTGCCCTCCACGATTGTTATGTTTGTGCTGAGTTAGGACCAACCGTGGCCTCACAGGTGTGCTGATTGTGCTACGATCCTAGGCACCTAGGCTGTACTGGTGCTATGTTCATGCTAAGTCAGGATGCCCTAACCTGGTCCACTTTCAGTACCAGTCCGGAGCCTAATGATAGACATGTCTGTGTGTCCTGAACATAGACATAGCAGTGGTACCGCTAGGCCCTTTAATGTAACTTATGCAGCATAGGTGATTTAGTCCCTGCCCTGTTGGACCAGTCCACAGGGTATCTCTGGGGTATAAAATGTCTATACAACCATGAACACTTTCAATGTGAGCCTCAGGAACTACTCACCCTACCGGCAGGTCTTTTTTTACTAAATCTGTCCACGTTTAGCCATGGGATGCATCCAGGGGAAGTCCTAGTGGGAATTCTGCCTCACTCCACTATGATAACTTCTCACTCACCTAGTTTACACCGCTAGCACTCAGGCCCCAGCCTTGCAGAAAAAAAACTCGTCACCTACGCCAAAAATTTTGGGGCCGGGCCGCTGTTGATAAATTTTGTCAACGGCCTTTGTCACGTTTCCGGCCTCCGAGAGTCACAGTGAGGGGCCCACGGCTGATGTATGGCCATGTACTAGTGGTTTAGTTTGAGAGGAAGCGAAGGCCTCACACTCATCGGACGTATCTGACCACTCTCGCGTCCAGACTCCGAAAAAGTCCAAATGTGAGTCCCACCTAAGGCAGGCTGTTTGGCCCGCCCGCCTGCCACGAGAGTTCCATGGAGGAAACCTAAATGAACAGTTTCATGTAACAATGACTTTTCTGGAGACTTGCAAAAGCCTCAGGGGCTCTTTCCCACTACTTGCCTAATATCAAAATCATGACGAGTGTCTGTTTCTCGCTGCAAAATGTGTCAAGATGCATCCGCCTTTGACGAGTGGTGGAACAATGCCCTGGGCGGGGAAATGACGGTGACGCCCAGCCCTCCGACGTTGACAACTCGCAGAGGATGGTAAGTACCCCTCCTTTGTTTTTGTTTTCGTTTTTTTTTTTTTTTTTACTTCAGAACCCGCTGGGCACAGCTGACGGGTTGCAGCCCTGTCAAGTGGGCTTCGGATGTGAAGGCTCCATCTATTGGTGGGGAGCGGCACGTCCTGAAAAACAGGTCCAGCGTCTCATATACACATTGGAAAAGAATTGTCATAGAGTGCGTTGGTCAGCATTGATTGCCCTGACTACCAGAGGGGATTAACCGACCAACTCGTCGGGAGAGGGCAAGGAGAGTGCCTCTGCAGCCTGCTGTTAACCGCCGCCAGACTAGGTAATCCTCAGATCCTCAGCACTTCCTCTACCCATCACCGCATTACAACTCAGGCCCCCTTTACCATTGCAGCTGAACCAGTGACAGCTGGTGGGGCTGGAAGAGGTCTTGGAATTTCGAAGCCGGTCGCAAGGGGATTGTGGGGGCAATCTTGGTACACTGGTTGAAGGTAAGAGGGTAGTCTCTGATGAGGTCACCCTGGTTCTCACCCTGTCCCCCCTTTCCATATAAGCTCTGCAAGACTGCAGCCCATCCTCCTTGTTCCCCGCCCAGCCAGTCTGCGCAAAACTGCTTGATGGACTTCAGGACATCTGATTCTGTGTGGAAGCAATCTAGTTTCTCCTTGAACCACCAGTACTGCATCCAGCTATTGATGCCGAACCTAAGCATGCCCTGCGCGACCATTTTCTTTTCTTCCAGCTCGGCTGGTGCCGCCAGCCACTGTGGTCCGGTAGCCCCGAAGCCTATGTATGGGTCAAGTACGGGTGGCTTAATCGGTCTCAAGTCAAGTCTCTTGGGCTAGGTGCGAAGCGCACGGGAAAAGTATATACGGAAGAAGGATAGACTCAAGACTCATTTTCCGCCAAGCCCCTATCACGGGCCGATGAGGGGATACTCACAACTGAGCTTTCCTGCAAACATTTGACACAATAGTACGGCCAAAGTCGCTCTGAAACGGACCCAGTGCATGGGTGCGCGGGCTTCATATGGAAGTTAGGGAGCGGTCTTCGTAAGTATAACAATATGGAGCGACGAAGAATTGGCGACCTCGGATGCTTTTGTGTTCTATGTATCATGTACGTAAGGCTATGCTAGCCCTGGTTACCAGCACATCCTGCTCCGCCGAAGGAATAGATTGGAGCCGTCGTATCATCGCACATTGCCGGGAATGCATGCGTACTATATCTGTCATCCTGAGCTGTGACTAGGAGCACGACGCCCATTCTCCGCCATGCACGTCTGCATGCAGGTCAGCGTGGCATGCCCACCATGACGTGCATGCACGTCACGTCTCAGCCATGCACGTCTGCATGGACGTCACCGTCTCAGTCATGTAATCACCACCTGAGCCATGCACGTAAGGATGACGTGACTGGATGCAGGATGCCCATTCTCAGTCATGCACGTCTGCATGCACGTCACGCCACGTCGCATGCACTACGGATCTCAGCGTCGTGTGAATCATGGGAGGGCAATGGCTGCGTCAATGTCTGTTCATCCGAATGCCAATCGAGATATCACCATGTTGGTGGCAACCAACTGTAATTATAGGAATATGCTCGTTCCAGGACTTTTTGGAGTGTGGATGTTGGTAATCGCGTGATACGCATTGAGCCATAGAGTAAGACTTAGGCCATCGCCACACCACTCACGATACGAATACAATGTGAGTGCATCTGCCAGCAGAAGCTGGCAAGAAGCATACGTCGCTATGAATAGAAACGGATGAATCCAGCCACCTTCAGCCGGTTTTTGGTTTCGAGTGTGGTGTGGAGACGCACCGATGAATCCAGCCACCTTCGGCCAGAAGATGCACTCGCTTTGTTTTTGGTTTCGAGTGTGGTGTGGACAGGCCCTTAGGCTTACGCTCTGGTGAAAGAGTATAAAGTTTAGATCACACCCAATGCTTCTTAACTCGCAGCTCGTCGCCACCATCTCCACAAAGACTTAACCCACAGCTCATGGCCACCATCTCCACAAAGACCCCTGAATCCACACTCCACTGACTGCGGAAAGGACCAGTGTCTCCACAAAGACTTAACCCACAGCTCGTCGCCACAATCTSCACAAAGACCCCTGAATCTTAACCCACAGCTCGTCGCCACAATCTGCACAAAGACCCCTGAATCCACACTCCACTGACTGCGGAAAGGACCAGTATCTCCACAAAGACTTAACCCACAGCTCGTCGCCACCATCTCCACTAAGACCCCTGAAATCCACACTCCACCGACTGTGGAAATAACCAGTCTTTCCCTGCCTTTTTAGTCATTGAATCTCTCGTAAGGGCAAGTAAACGAGTCCGTTTTTACTCCGCTTCTTTTTTTTTTTTCTTTTTTTTTTGGGTGTTCCTTTGTTCTCAAGCAAACCCGTGAAACAGTGTCATGCTCATCATTTATTTCTCAATTTTTAACTGGCTTTCTGCCATGTCATGGAAGTTGATGGAACATATCCTTTTTCCATCTTTCACTACCTACCTATCACTAGGAGAAGACAGCTTTTCCAAAAAAAAAACAAAAAAAAAACAAAAAAAAACAGAAAAAAAACAAAAAGCAAAACATTGTCATGCTCAGAACCACGCGCATGCATGTCTTAAAACAGCAACCTTTGGTGGGATAACATTCTCCTCACCTTTTCCATTTTTTTCGTGGCCTTCTGTTTCTGGAGCACGTTCCTCCCAATTAGATAACATTCTCCTCGCCTTAAAAGTTTTCCATTTTTTTTCGTGGCCTTCTGTTTCTGGAGCATGTTCCTCCCCCCCAATAATAGGACTTCCATTGACGTAAATTGCGGCCCGATCCATTCGGGAAAGGCCAGGTGTGAGTGTGCCCTTCCTGTTCTTACTTCCGTTCTGTTTCATTCTGTTTCCCTCGTCCATACATTGCAATCCGAAGATCACCCGCCAAACAGGGATCTTTTCTTCGTGGTCCGGCTCTTACGTTTTTTTTTTTTAATTTTTTTTTTTTTTTTCAATCAGATATTAAACTGATCAGAACAGATACTATACCGGCCCTGCACAGTAAGCGTTGTCGCACTTTGGCCACATTGCAGCGCATCTGATAATCCCATACGGGGGGAACGGGGGGATTTGACGCCCTACTTTTCTAGCAGGGTATCGGATGTGGAAACACTAGCAGGGTATCGGATGTGGAAACACTCGCACCCGCAAGCTACTGCTAATTGAAACCCGGGAGTGCATGTCGTCAGCACCCTACCTCATATATGACGAAGTGCTGCCAGACCAAGTCGTGCTGAATGGCTCCCGCCCTTTCGCGATGGTCGCCAGGAACAGGATCTTACGCCGTGAAGAAAGGGCCTTTTGTGTTAAATTTGACGACTTCGTTTCGTTTTCTACTTATTTTCCTTCACAGCTTCCTCTTCTCCATTTCACCCGCTTGCTGCAGTGGTGACTTGCACAGAAGGAAAAGGGTAAGAGAAGAGATAGGCGTTGACAAGAAGAGAGGGGAAGGCGGGAGGAGAGAGATGCACACCCCGGAAACGCAATTCAAAGTTCAAACCCAAATCCAGACGCTGAACATCGTCAGTCTTCGCCTTGCTTTGAACGCACGCGCACGCGCGCGCTCGGGCGAGAGAGAGAGAGAGAGAGAGAGAGA